AAAATTAGGGCAAATTAAATACAAATCTAGTAGTAGGGAGGAAATAAAGATTAGATAACAGATAAATGAAATGGAGAATTAAAAACCAAAAGAGTCAATGAAACCAAAAATTGGTTCTTTGAAAAGAACAACCAAATTGACAAACTTCTATTTAAACGGATAAAAAGAAGATAGATTAGAATAACTAAAATTATAAATGAAAATGAGAACATCACAACTGACCTTACCTAAATTAAAAGAATTATAAGGGAATACTTGGAATATTTGTACAGCAACAAATTAGATAACCAAGTTGTAATGGACAAATTTCTATAAATGCACAACCAATCAAAACTGACAGCTTTGCTATTGATTTATATTCCCCTATATAGGTTGAAATTACTATCTAGACCCCTTTTATTTCAGCCTGAATTAGCATTTCTTATAAGGCAGGTATATTAGCAATTTACTTCCTCAACCGTTATTTACCTGGAAATATCTTACTTATGCCTTCATTTGTAAAGGATCATTTTGCAAGATACAGACATCCTCTTGATTGATTGCTGTCCTCCCACCAGCACCTTAAATATATCATCCTGTTGCCTTCTGGCCTCTACAGTTTCTGATGAAAAATTAGTTGTTAATACTTTCTCATGTGATTTCTAGATTCTCTCTGTTCTTGACTTTTGACAGTGTGATTATATGGTGTCTTCTTGTGGATCTCTTTTACTTTATACTACTTGGGGTTCATTGAGCTTCTTGAATATGTAGATTCATATGTTTCATCAGTTTGGAAGGTTTGGGACTATTATTTCTTCAGATATTTTTTCTGCTTCTTCCTGTCTCTTCTGGAACTCATGTTAAGTATGTACAGGTATGCTTGATGGTGTTCTACTAGCCTTGTAAAATCTGTTCATTTTTCTGTATTATTTTTCATCTCCTCCTAGATTAGAATGTTTTAATTGATCTGTCTTTATGCCCACTAATTCCTCTGCCTGCTCAAATCTGCTGCTGACACCTTATCATAAACCTTTATTTCAGTTATTGTAATTTTCAATTACAGAATTTCTATTTGATTTTTTAAAAATTTATATCTTTTTATTGATATGTTCTTTATAGTGAGGCATCATTCTCCTGGTTTATCTTAATTATTTGTTCATGGCTTTATTTAGCTTTTTGGACATGTTTAAGGGAGTTGATTTAAAGCCTTTGTCTTTGTCTTTCTGGGCTTCTTCAGGAACATTTCATATTAGTTGCTTCCCTTTCTTCCTTTGTAAATAGCTCATATTTCTTGCTTCTTTGCATGCCACAGAACTTTGTTGAAAACTGGGCAGTGGACATTATAATGTGATAATTCTGGATATCAAATGCTCCTTCCTCTCCATAATTTGTAGTTGCTGATTGTTGTGACTTATAGTCACCTTTTGTTGTTATTATTTGTTTTGTCATTTTTCTAAAATAGTTTTATAATAATTGTGTTCTTTGTTATGTGTGGTCCTTGTTCCATTAGCTTAGTATTCAGATAGTAATTTGACAGAGAGTTCATTAAACACCTGGAACCAAAAAATATTTTCCTCCAGGCTTTGTAGCTGGACTCTGTAAGTGGGTGTTGATGCACACCCTTAACACTTGGATGGGCAGTTTACAACTCGGCTTCTCCTTTACTCCCTGCTTCCTCTTCACTTCCTGTTTGCACCATCACTTCCTGCTTGCTCAGAGCTTGAAGTTCAACTGGAAGTGAGTAGCGAGAGCTTCTCAAGTCTTTTCTGAGCATGTGCTCCATCATGGGCATGCGTCAGGGCTTCCTGGGCTCCCAGAACGATGTGGAATCTTTCAAAGCCCTTATTCCCCAAAGCATCTCATTCCCCAGTGTTTCCTTCCTTTTTGGAGTGTCCATTGATTTTATCAACTGTTATCTTTTGACCCAGGTGACAATGACTGATTCATTTACCTATACATGTTCTGACAAATACCCTCCATGTAGCTGCTTCTCTTTCTCAAGAGAGTTCTAAGTTGGTGAAATAAAGGGAAGCCCTTTGTGTTAGCTCTTCAGGAGCTGCTACACAGCTCAAAGTGGACAGCCAGGCTTCCTTGGAAACAGGATCCACTCTGCTCCTCTGGCCTCAGCATCTCACAGCAGGAACTCCAGCTGCCATATCCAAGACTATGAACCAGGTGGGAATGAGGGAGTGGGGTAAGGAAAAGTTAAAATCCCACAGTGTTCTCCTGCTGGGTTCAGTTGCTTTTTACTTGATTAAGTGTTCCTTGGCTTGTTGTAAATTTTGGACTATTTTCCAGAGTTCAGATAAAGCTGATTCTACCGGAGTCTCTCTCTGTCTGTCTCTCTCTCTCTCTCTCTTTCTCTCTCTCTCTCTTTCTTCCTGGCTTGTTGTAAACCTTGGGCTATTTTTCCAGAGTTTAGAAAAACTAGATTCTACCAGGCCTTTACTTTTTTATTTTGTTTTTGTCAGTTTCTGGTGTTTCTGTGGAAGCACAGGCCCTTACAGTTCCCTACTCCACGATTTTCTCTGATATCACTTGTAGCAGGCACAATTTAGAGGAGTGCTTTTTAGACATATGTCAGTATTTCTCAGAATTGAAAATCAGCAAACACTCTACCCTAGAATCCCCACTGCTAAGAATTTAGGTAAAGCAAAAGCTTATACTAGTGTGAAAAGATAAGAATTCTAACAGTGGTGTTTGTAATAATAAAATATGGAGAGGCATAAAATCTCCATCCATCTGGTATTGCATGAATGGAATGATGTATACCTTGAGAAGGAAACTATGATACGGTACTCTTCTTTATCAAATTGGCAAAGAAAGGATGATGTATACCCCAGCCCATGTGGTGACTGAATAGCTATTGAGAGTGAAGACTCAGGAACTCTTGTGGCAGTGTGGTGACTGTCACATCTCCCTGGGAGCCCATTGCTCTGCAGTTGTATTGCTGGGAGTCCATTCTCAGATTTGCTTAATCATATCTGGCTATATCTGGATGTGTGTATTCATGTGTCCCTCCCACCTTCTGGTCTGCACATGGTGCCACTCTGGCCTGGGCTTCCTCCATAACTGCTGCCCTGAGACCTTACCTTCCTACCAGCTCTCTCCTCCCATTCTAACAAGCCAGGGCTTTGCAGGGTGCATCTTTGTCCTCTGCCTTCTGCATCCCAGCAGCATGCCCGGTGCCGAGCAGAGGGCGTTCCTGAGTGTCTGAGTGTGTGCAGGAGTCCCAGATGCCCAAGCCATCCCAGGTGGAACTCCCTGGGTGCCTGGCCAGCCAGTGCCAATATCTCTCCAGCCTCTTATATCCCCAGAACAGCTGCAGGCCTGATACCCCCAGAACAGACCCACTTCTGTGCCATGGTGTAGTGTTATGATATATGTAGATTTTCATCCTCGAGTCCCTCTCAGAGCCCTTGTTACAAACTATTGTTACAATGTTGGCACATAAGGTCTCAGGAAACAGCCTCTCTGACCTCCTGCCCTCCCTTCTCCTGTCCCAAGGCAGGACTCTAATCTTTCCCAGACTTTCTGCTTGTGGATCTTAAGACTCGCCCAGAGACGGTCCTTCCTGTACCCTAGAAGAAGGAGTGCTGAGGTCATGAAGTTTCTATAAAAACCCAACAGTACCAGGCATGGTGTCTCATGCCTGTAATCCTAGCACTTTGGGAAGCCAACGTGGGAGGATCACTTGAGCCCAGGAGTTAGAAACCAGCCTAGGCAACATAGCAAGACCTTATCTCTTACCAAAAATTAAAAAACAAAACAAAACGGGTGTGATGATGCATACCTGTAGTCCCAGCTACTTGGAAGGGTGAGGCAGAAGGATTGCCTGACTCGGGGAGGTTGAGGCTGCAGTGAGTGTCCAGCCTAGGCGACAGAGTGAGACTCCAAATCAAAAAAACAAAACAAAACAAAAAGACCTAAAAAGACTGAGTTTGGGAGCTCCCAGAGAGCTGAGCAAGGGGAGGTCTTGGAGGAGGCACCCAGGGAGAGCAGGGAAACTCCATCCCTCCCCCACGCTTCACCATCTGTATCCTTTGCGATATCCATTAGAATAAAACGGTAACTGTGTTTACCGGCATTCCATTCTGTGAGCTGTTCTGGCAAATTAATCAAAGCCAAACCTGGGGTCATGGGAACCAGTTTGAAACCAGTCAATCATAAGCTCTGGTTGCCTAGGTTTGCGACCGATGTTGGGGTAGGGAGTCTTAGAGACTGAGCCCCATCCATGGGGTCTGATATCATCTCCAATTAGATGGTGTCAGAAATGAATTGGAGGATGCCCAGTTGGTGCCAATGCCTGGTGTATGGGAGAAACCCTCCATTTGGCCACAGGCCTCTCCTGTGTTGACTGTTGAGGTGTGAGAGCAGAAAAGTCTGGTCCAGTAGTGTTTTCAAAACACATGGAAGGAGCTGCTTCTAGGCATAGTGGGGTGAGGTTGGGGGGCTTTGATCTGAGTCAGGGGTATCCGCTGAACTCCACCAGTGAGCAAGGTTTCTGGAACACCCAGGACCTGAGGGGTGGGGGAACAGCAGAACATGCCCCAAGGTGAACAGGAGCTTTCAGGGGTTGGTGCAGAAACCCCCCACCTACCCCAAAGCTTGTGATGTAGCTCAGAGGGGCCCAGCACCCCAGAACCAGGACAGGCTCACCCTGCCCTCCCTCCCCAATGAGCTACAGTCATCAGAGTCATTGTGGGACAGCAGAGGTTTTATTGGAGCTCAGAGGCAGAGAGTGACACTCCCAGGGGCGTGTCCAGGGTCAGCAGGGCCACCCCTGACCAGCGAATGACAAGGCCTGGAGCAAGGAAGTGCCCCGTGGAGCAGCCAGGGCTCCCATGGGCTGAGGCCAGGGGAAGAGCAAGTGGGCATCACAGACACCAGAACTGGTGGGCTGTGGATGGGCTGCTCTTTCCCAGAGGTTGAGCTGTGCTGGGGCTGGGAAGACTGGTAGGCCAGGGGCTTCCAAGGACTGGCAGGGAGGGAGACCTGAACCTGGCTTGTCCTGAGAGCCCTCAGCAGGCCGGGCGGGAGCACATGGGGCGGCAGAGGAGGGAAACGCAGGAGGCTGGGCGGTAGCAGCTGGGTTGGCAGGAGGAGGTGGGGGCACAGCAGGAGGGGACAGGCACGCAGCAGGCGGGCCTGCACACAGGGCGGCAGAGGAGAGACATACAGGAGGAGGGTCTGCAGCAGGAGGAGGGACAGCAAGCCGGCTGGCAGCTAGACGGCTGGCAGCACGAAGAGGAAGACCCAGAGCAGAGGGGCTCACAGCAGACAGGCTTGCAGGACACAGTCTTGCAGCACACGGGCACACAGCAGGGCTGCTGGCAGGGGGAAGAGGTACAGCAAGAGGGCTGGCAGCTAGACTGCTGGCAGCAGGAAGAGGATGCCCCAGAGCAGATGGGCACACAGCAGATGGGCTTGCAGCACACAGGCATGCAGGAGGTCTGTTGGCAGGGAGAGGAGGTGCAGCAAGCCGGTTGACAGCTAGACTGTTGGCAGCATGAAGAGGAACCCTCAGAGCAGTTAGGCTTGCAGCAGATGGGCTTGCAGCAGACAGGCACACAGCAGGCCTCTTGGCAAGGAGAAGAAGTGCAACAAGCCGACTGGCAGCTAGACTGCTGGCAGCAGGAAGAGGATGCTCCAGAGCAGATGGGCCCACAGCAGACAGGCTTGCAGCAGATGAGCTTGCAGCAGACAGGAACACAGCAAGCTGGTTGGCAGCTAGACTGCTGGCAGCATGAGGGCGTGCAGGAGCTGGTGCAGGCTGACTGGCAGGGGCTGGACACACAGCTCACTGGGGTGCAGATCAGGCTCAGGCAGGGGGCTGGGGCGCGGCAGCTGGGGGCACAGCAGGGGGGCTCGCAGCAGCTCTCTGGACAGTCGTCCGCCTGCCAGGACTCGGAGCCAGAGACACAGGACCCGGGCAGGCAGACCCGGCTGCCATAGCTCAGGTCGCTGGAGCAGACAGACACGGTGGATGTTGCCATGTTGGAGGTTGAGCTGGGGAGAGTGGAGTGAGTGAGGGAGTGAGTAAAGAGGTGTGTGTGTGTGAGGTGCTGGGCTGTCTGGCTTTTATATCCCTAGGGTGTTTGTTTTCCTGGGAGGAGGCCTCACAATGCCCTTCCCTTCCTGGTTGGTGTTTGGAGCCAGGAGGATCCTCATTATTTTCGTTTCTCTGGATATGATATGTCCTTGTCCAGCTTGTAAACCCCACCCAGCGTTGGGGAGGGCTGCCTGTGGCTGAGTCTAGCCCTGCAGGGACACCTGGAGGGCAAGTGCAGCAGTAACGTCCACTGGTGAGCTCCATTGTCCTGATGCCCAAGTACAGCACAGCCTGGGTATGGTCCCCAAGAACTGTTAGTATCTCCTGGTGTCCTGCCACCCTCTCTCATCTGGGAATGAAGCTCCAGTAACCGCGGACAGGCTGTCCCAATGCTCAGAAGATCCACAGCACTAGGGTGTCTCACTGGAAGCTCTTCAAAGTCTGGGAGAAGGCGAGCAGGCCTGCTGGCATCAGAACCTTCCACTCCTGTCCTACACGGGTCCAGTCAAAGCAACAAGCCAAGAAATGGCAACGGGGCTTGAATTTCTGTGATGTGCAGATGATATGGTTGTTTACCCAGTGGCTTGAGCCACCCGTGGGAGTGACTTTCACTGGCCATATTCACTGAGGGGCTGAACAGGGGATGAACTCACAGCCGCCCAGAGCCCCCACCCACACCCCTCAAGCCTGCTGCGCCAGCATGATTGGAATTTCATCTAGACCCAGGGGCCTTCCAGCACAGACCAGTACCCTCCCCTCTCCACAGCTATTGGCAGACAAGCCCCTCCAGTCACAAGGGGGTGAGGCCCATAAAGTCATGGTTTACTACTAGAGCGGGATCTCGCCTAGTGAATTGGAGCAGTGCACAATAGGGACTAGGCCAGAGCCAAGGGAAAACTGTGTTCCCTAGTGGAATACGAGGGATGTGGTCCCTGAACCTGGAACAGCAAATCATAACTCATGACCCTGGTGACAGCCTCAGTAATCTCAGAAAATTACCCTCATGATAGTACTGATGGTGAGGTTGGTGGCATCAGAGAACATTTACTGAACATGTGTCTGTGCCAAGCAGTATCACAGCACTTCACATCTATTAACTCAATTTTTGCATCAACTCCTAGACAAGGTTACTAGGAACAGATAAGGAAGCCTCGACACAGAGAGGTTAAGCAACCTGATCAAAGTTACACAGCAAAAAGTGGAAGAACTGGAAGTGGAAGCCAGCCAGTGTTTATGTAGGATCTATGCTCTCAACCAGTGCTCCCCTCGTTCCAGAAAAATTGTGGAGATGAAAGTCCGCATGTGTTCATGGAAATTTAACAACAACCTACTAGATTAAAAATTTGCATTGGAGGCAGAGGAGCAAAATGGACACCAATTCAATGGTTGTAAGGACAAACACTGGCAGTTCTTCCAAAACAAAGAGGCAAAGGATAAAGCCACAAACATAACAAGAGAAAAGATAATAAACAGAGAGTATATTTAGCTGAGACCAAACATAATAATTCAGTTGCTAAGAACTCAGAAAGAACAATTAGGATCAAAGTAATCATCCAAAGAGTAATTGAGGACTTGCTATTCTGGACTGGATGAACAAAGGTGTGTATTTAGACTGGAAGAACTTAATGGATTTCAAGAAAATCAGTTCTTTAGAGCTCATCCCACACATATGTTGGTAAGTTTTAAAATTAGAAGACTTATGACCGGTCCTTTCACCTGCAGAAAGAAGCAGTATGCAATCTGGAAATGAATCCACATCAGCCTGTCCTTAGACTCCTCCCGCCTGCCATGGAATGACAACAGGGAAACATTACAGAGCTTCTAGGGAAAGCTTTGGTGGACTAAAGTTGAATGTTTTTACATCTTTCTCAAGGAATGACAACACCAAAGTTTTTTTCCTATAAGGGAGAGCTTAGAAACACTCCAGCCAGGAGTGTATTAAAGTATTTCTTTACATTAAGAAATTAAAGTATTTATTTTTCTCTAGAGAAAAAGAATACTTTACAAAACACAACAGGAGGACACAACATCAATAAGGGTACCTGATCTCAAACCAGGCAAAGTGGCAACCAAAGGGAAGCCCAAACTTTACCTGTGTGGTGGCCACTTGTATACCTAATCCTGAATTGTATCCCATGTGTTTAAAATAAAAAATAAATTAAAAAAAAAAGAAACACGACAAATGACTAAGTAATTGTTAGGGATGAAAAGTTTCTGTTGCGCTCCAATTCATGTGTTGAGACCCTAATCTCAATGTGATGGTATTAAGAGGTAGGATTTTTCAGAGGCAAGTAGGTCAAAAGGATGGGGCCCTCAAGAATGGGATTAGTGCCCTTAAAAGCAGAAACCCTGGAGAGATTATTTCTCTCTCTCTGTATTGTGGGGGGACACAGCAGGAAGGTGGCCATCTGTGGACAGAAAGAGAGCCTTCAACCCCAGCTGACTGTGCTGGTACCCTGTCCGATCTCAGATTTCCAGACCCCCCAAACTGGGAGAAATATATGTGTGCTGCTTAAGCCCCTCAGGACACAGCAATGGATTACAGCAGACCTAGCTGACCAAGACCCAGATGAAGCAAAGACGTGGAGGAACATGGAGACTGGGTCTCAAAGGGCTGTCATGATACAAAGACAGGAAAACACTGAATGACGTCTAAACAGCTAATGAGCTCAGTTGCAAATGCAAATGCAGGTTTCACAGCTATGGTAATCGATGTGTAGTGTAATACATCCTAATTTAATAACAATAAGATTTGGATATTTTATTGTGCTGAGAGTCACTCACCACACATGACTACTGAGCACTTGAAATGGAGCTGTATCACATGATGCAATGGGAACATTTTGGATGTATTGGGTTAAATTAAATATATTACTAAATTAATTTCACGTGTTCCTTTTCACATTTTTAAATGTGACTGTCATGATATTTACAATGGCATAAGTGGTTCTATTTCTACCGGAATAGACTATGTCCTGCCTTAAATGACATGTAAAAGACAAATGAGTTGGGGGTGGTGTGTGGGGTGTGGGTAGACGCTAAGGAAGGCAAGATCATGCTGCCTCAAACAGGAGTTTCTCAAATTATAGCTTCACCCTTGACTTTAATTATTTAAAAAACACAAAAGTAAACTTAAAAACTATTCATTAGCACAATTAATAACAGAATATGTATTACAAAACACTAGGAAAAGCAGAAGAAAAAAAAAAAAACAATGGCAGATATTTAAAAGATATAAATAAATAAATAAACCCCTGAAACAAGAGGAAAATCTCAACAGCAAAGAATTTAGTAAAAATATCAGAATGAGAAGCAAAGCAGTCAGTTACAAGCAAATTTTTTGGATACTTCTTATTAGATGAAAATGTTCTCACAAGGGTTCCTGGAATAAAACTCAAAGGCTGAGAACAGTGGTTCACATCTGTAATACCAGCACTTTGGGAGGCTAAGGGAAGAGAATTGCTTGAGCCCAGGAGTTTGGGACCAGACTAGGCAACATGGCAAGATATCGTCTCTACAAAAAATCAGAAAATTAGCCAGACATAGTGGCACACGCCTATAGCCCTTGCTACTTGGAAGCTGAGGTGGAAGGGTCGCCTGAGTCTGGCAGGTCAAGGCTGCAGTAGCTGTGACTGTGCTACTGCACTCCAGCCTGGGCAACAGGCTGACTAAAATCAAATCAAATCAAATCAATCCCAGAAGAAGGTAACTAGTGCCACAACTAGACAGGCAGCGACAGGGAAAGCGATGCTTCCAGGCCAGACGGGGCGCACACACAGGACTTCCTCCCATGACGACACAATCTAGAAATGAGGACTTTGCATCAGTGGGGCCACCACACCCCACGGCTGATGGAGGGCGGGCTGACCCACAACCCCTGAACACTGGAAACTGTTCCCTTACAGTGTCCGATAACCAGTGAAGAGAATGGTCATCAGACACAGTTGCTGGCCAAGGGAAGGGGGAGATGAGTGAGAGGAACTCCAGGCATCAGGGAGTACCTGAGAGAGAGGCGCCCTGTGACTCCTCTGAGTGAGTCCACCGCCTGCCTGGCAGGGTGCCCCGGGGAGGCTGGCTGCACAGACGCACGGTCACCAGGCACAGGGGCTGGGCAGGCTCGCTCCAGCTGCTGACCAGACACTGGACACAGGGCTGGAGGCAGCAGGACCCTGCCCACTCCCCTTGCCCCGGCACTGGGGGCTTGGAAAGGAAAGATGAGTGTCGGGCACCTCTCTGTCTTTCCTTCCCCGGAGCGTATAGTACTTGGACAGGGACTTCCCACCTCTCCGCTTTGGATTTGTACAGACGTGATGTGAACACTGCGAGGGAATAAAATATTTCCTGAACACATTAAAAGATACAGCAGTTCAAAGAAAAAGACATACTCAAGATGTAAGGGATCCCCGGCCAGCAACAGGGGGAAGTTTTAGAAAATTCTAATTAGTCCTAATGAGAGTCACAGAGCCACAACAGGGGGTTATTATCCTACTGGAAACAACTGGAAATGCTGGGGGTGTGACTTGGGGGGGTTGTAGAATCTTCCTAACAGCAACAGGAAGTGGAAGAGAGAGTAAAGAATTACAGGCCCAAGGCAAAAGCTGGGATTTTGCCCTTTTGTGCCTCTCCCTGGTCATCTTGGGAAAGCTTGAGGGGTGGGGTGGAGTGGAGGAGGTGTTTAAGCACATAAAATATAATACATAAGAGGGCTACAAAGGAAACAGTTTACAATAAGAAAAAACAGCCAGGTGCAGTGTCTCACGCTTCTAATTTCAGCGTTTTGGGAGACGGAGGCAGGAGGATCTCTTGAGGCTAGGAGTTTGAGATCAGCCTAAGCAACACAAGCCCCCATCTCTGCAAAAATAAAATAAAATAAGATTAGCTGGGTGTGGTGGCATACTCCTGTAGTCCCAGCTACTCAGGAGACCGAGGCAGGAGAACTGTTTGAGCCCAGGAGTTCGAGGCTGAGGTGAGCTATGATCTCACCACTGCATTCCAGCCTGGGTGACAGAGTGAGGCTCTGCCTCCAAAAAACCTACACACTAATAATAGTTATAACCAAAGAGGGCAGGGCACGGTGGCTCAAGCCTGTAATCCCAGCACTTTGGGAGGCTGAGGTGAGAGGACTGCCTGAGCTCAGGGTTTGGAGACCAGCCCTAGCAAGATGGTGAGACCTCGTCTCTACAATAAATCAAAAAACAAGCCAAGCATGGTAGCGCGCCCCTGTATTTCCAGCTACTTGGAAGGCTGAGGCGGAAGGATAGCCATAAGCGTGCCACTGCACTCCAGTCTGGGTGACAGAGTGAGACTCTGACTCAAAACAAAAAAACAAACAGACAAAAATGCGCTATCTAGCATGTGCTTCTCTAATAAACACAGATATGGTGGGCCTTGCACACCCATCCTTAGGAAACAGGAACAGTTGCCATGAGGCCTGCGGATTTGCAGCTACCACCACATGTCGCCCGCAACATCTGCTTTCTGTTGGGGATGAAGCTGCAGGCACCGCCGGCAGTTTGTTGACTTCATTCAACACTGATCTAAATGCTAAATTTCAGTTTGAGATTAGTGGAAATACAGATGTCATTTTTTCCCCTTCTTGTCCAAGTTCACAGACCTCGGATGAAGGACTTTTGCTTGGGTCCATGGTGTTCAGCCACACCCAGGAGTCACCTGTCACTCAAGGATCTTGGCTGAACCGGCATGCTTACACCTGGGATTGAGCAGTTTTGCAGGATGGAGGGAACAGAAGTCACAGCACTGAGCCAGAACTGGCAGAAATTACAGAAAACTGAAAGGGACCCACAGTCTTCAATCATTCGAATGGCCATACACATTGCAAAACAAAAACACAGAGATACATAATGAAATAAGAGATCAACTGTTAAGATATCTTCCAGGAGTGAGAAACATTTATTTTATTTATTAAGAGAGGGCTGATGGAAAGCAGGAAGAGCAGAGTTCAGATGGGCAGAGGAGGAAGAGATGCAGGAACTGGGTGGGGGGGGTACAGGGGAGGAGAGAGGGCGGGAAGCTGGGGGCAGTGGTGATCACAGAGAAGGGTTGCTCAGCTCCAGGCTGGGGAAGAGGGCTAGAAGCACTGAATGCTGTTCCCAGGACCTGGAGACATACAGGGGGCACAAGAGGTCTCCCAGGCAGGCAGGGTTCCTTGTATCGAGGCTGGCAGGGTAACTGCCACAATGAAAGACCCGGGTGCATGGGAGGTCATGGCCAGCCCTGCCCCATGGTGCTGCGACTCTGGATGGAGCTCAAGGCCAGGGTCCCAAAGCGCCCATCCTCACACCATATCAAAATTCTTCCTTTCGTTTGCTGACAGGCTACTCCACGGGGCAGGACAAAGTGACCAACAGCCAGCCAGGATGGAGAGCAGGGTCCCAGGAGAGACACATGGCCTGGAAAGAAATCAGAGCAGGCCCAGCCATGAGGGCTCATACAGCTGGCCAGAGGTGGGCTCACACAGCTGGGCAGAGGAGACCCAGGCTGGGCCCAGGGTTCCAAGGGTTTCAGGAAGTCAGAGCTGGCCCTGGAACAATGCTGGGGAAGTAGATGTGCCTGTCAGCAGCTGGACTTCTGGCCCGAGGTGAGGCCACAGCAGGCTGGGCGGGAGCATGCAGGGCGGCAGAGAAGAGACACGCAGGAGGCCGGGCGGCAGCAGCTGGGTTGGCAGGAGGAGGCAGGGGCACAGCAGGAGGAGGTGGGCACGCAGCAGGCTGGCCTGCACACAGGGCGGCAGAGGAGGGACACGCAGGAGGAGGGTCTGCAGCAGGAGGAGAGGCAGCAAGTAGGCTGGCAGCTAGATTGCTGGCAGTATGAAGAGGAAGCCCCAGAGCAGGTGGGCACACAGCAGACGGGCTTGCAGGACACAGTCTTGCAGCAGACAGGCATGCAGCAGGGTTGCTGGCAGGGGGAGGAGGTACAGCAGGAAGGCTGGCAGTTAGACTGCTGGCAGCATGAAGAGGAAGGCTCAGAGCAGATAGGCATGCAGCAGATGAGCTTGTAGTGGACAGGCATACAACAAGCCTGCTGGCAGGGGGAGGAGGTACAGCAAGCCAGCTGGCAGCTAGACTGCTGGCAGCATGAAGGTGTGCAGGAGCTGATGCAGACTGACTGGCAGGGGCTGGACACACAGCTCACTGGGGTGCAGACCAGGCTCAGGCAGGGGGCTGGGGTGCAGCAGCTGGGGGTACAGCAGGGGGGTTCACAGAAACTCTCTGGGCAGTTGTCCTCCTGCCAGGAGTCATTGCAAGCACTGGAGCAGACAGACATGGTGGACATGGCCATGCTGGGGGTTGAGCTGGGGTAGGTGAGATGGAGGATTGTGAGTGAGTGAGTGAGTGAGTGAATGAGTGAGTGAATGTGGGTGCTCTGGGCAGTCGGGACTTTTATATCCCTCTATGTTGTTTGTGTTGTCTTTGCAGTAGGCATAGTGAAGCCTCCCCTTTCCTTATTATTGCTTGTGGTTGTGCTGTTGTGTTGGTAGTGCTGGCTCACTATGTGTGGATGTTGCTGGTTTGTGAAGCTCTGACATGGAGCTGAGGTTGTCCTGAGCTGTGTTCATCCCCAGAAGTAAACTAGTAGAAATTCTTTGATTGCATCACAGCACCCTCCAGATGCAAGGGCTACAGCAATCAAGCGATATTCTGAAAGTGACAATACTCTACTCCTTCCCAGGCATAGTTTACTCTGTGAACAGACTTCTACACCTGGAGAAGGACAAAGTTGGCAGCATCCCAGTTTCTAGGGGTTTAGGAAAGGAAGAGGTGTGCCCTGCTGCGGACAGGTCTGATGATGCTTGGTTGGCATGGCCACATGGCAGGACCCACCCTGCAGGATGATGCTCAGGTTGTGAGTGAGAACCAGGGGTCACATTTCTGCTGGAGGTGAGCCCTGGGGCAGGTGTGAGGGAATATATCTTTCTGGGTTCACAGAGAGGGTCAGGAAGACCGATGCAGGTCTAGCGCAGCAGGGACAACCACGAGGGGTTAACACTTGAAATTTTAAGGCACATTTCCCCAGCAATGTGCATCATGCTCATACCTCCTCCTCTCCTCATGACTCAGACAACACCCTCTGCAAGAGGGACCTTGGGAGCTCCTGCAGCCTCTCTGGATAAACCATAATAAGGTCTCCTCCCTCAAGAGCATCCACCTCCACAAGCCAGAAATGTATCAGAATGTAGTGGCTCTACTGTTGTGTCCTGTTAATTGCCATAGTAAATGTAGAATTAAAAGGTGTCTCACAAACACCTGCACAGTACTTGGTACCACACCTGTACCCCAGTGAGCACCCACAGTTCTGATCAGGGAGCCCTCATCTCCTCATTCTGTGGTCATTATACTCAACCAATCTCTGAAATGGCAAAAGCAAGGGCCTCAGTGGTACTTTGCAGGCTCTCCAAAGTTAGGGTAGGGCTCTACAGAGTGCTTACTGGGGGCTTCACTGACCTCTCATGGGTGGGCTAAGGGATCTGTTGGAGGACCCCCTGGCTGTCAAGCCACCATGGAAAAAATATTATTTTAAAAAATGATGGGCCACCCTTTGGAACCCCTCCTGCTGATGGGAGCTCTGCTGTCTTCCTAATAAGTTCCGACTTTCTCAAAATAAATTTTAAAAAAAGAAAAAATTAAAAATGGTCCAAAACCTTCCAATTTTATTGGAAAACATTAACCTACACATCTGGAAACTCATAAAACTCAAAAGTAAGATGCATACAAAAGATTTGCAAATAGACATATCATAGTAACAATGCTGAAAGTCAAAAACAAGGAGAAAACCTTGAAAGTTGTGAGAGAAAAGCAACAAATCATTAAAGGAACACTAAGTACACTAAGAACAACTGACTTTTTTTATCAGAAACAATGGAGGCCAGAGATAGTAGCATGATCTATTCAAAGTGTTTAAAGAAAAAAAAAGTCAGTTGTTCTTAGTGTACTTAGTGTTCCTTTGAAAATGATTTGTTGCTTTTCTCTCACAACTTTCAAGGTTTTCTCCTTGTTTTTGACTTTCAGCATTGTTACTATGATATGATAAAACTAAGCATTCTAGTTACAACAAAGCTATCTTTCAAAAGTGAAGGCAAAATGAAGACACTTCCATATAACTGAAAATTGAGGGACTCTATTGCCTGCAGTTGCAGCTTACAAAACATACTCAAGAAAGTTCTTCAGACTGAAAGCAAGTGAGCCCAGATAGAAATTCAAATTCACACACAAACACACACACACACACACACACACACACACACACACACACACACACCAAAAACAGAATGCATATTTTCTCTCAACTGATTTTTTAAAAGCAATTTTGGGGCCTATAGCATTTAGAAAATTAACATTTGGGCCGGGCACAGTGGCTCAGCCTGTAATACAGTACTTTGGGAGGCTGAGGTGAGAGGATTGCCTGAGCCTGAGGGTTCGAGACCAACCTGGGCAGCTTGGTGAGACCATGTCTCCAAAATAAATCACAAAGATTAGCTGAGCATGGTGGCGTGTGTCTGTAGTTCCAGCTACTTGAAAGGCTGAGGCAGAAGGATTGCCTAAACCCAGCAGGGCAAGACTGCGGTGGCCATGAGCATGCCATTGCACTCCAGCCTGAGTGACAGAGTGAGATTCCAACTCAAAAAAAAACCCCCCAAAAACCTAATATTTGACAATAATAGCACAAAACAGGTACATGGGAACAAAGCTGTACTGGGCAATGGGAATTGCTGCAAATGATCATTTGAATCCACAGGAAAAAATGAAGATAATCAGAAATGATAAAAAGAAAGGTAATATAACAAAAAGTTATAAATATGTACTTGTTATCCTCTCTTCTCTAGGCATCTTTAAAAGACACAATATCATAGAAAGTATAATTATAACAATATATTGTTGGGTTGTTTTTTTTTTTTGAGTTGGAGTCTCACTCTGTCGCCCAGACTGGAGTGCAGTGGCTGCTCCCGGCCACCGCAGCCTCGACCTGCTGGGCTCCACCGATCCTTCCGCCTCCGCCTTCCAAGTAGCTGGAACTACAAGAGTGCGCTACCATGCCCGGCTAATTTTTTTTTTTTTTTTATTGTAGAGATGAGGTCTTGCCAAGTTGCCCAGGTGGGTCTCGAACCCTCAGGCTCAGGTAATTCACTCACCACGGCCTCCCAAAGTGCAGGATTACAGACTGAGCCACTGAGCCCGGCCATATTGTTGGTTTTTTAACATTAGCAGATGTAACATGTATAAAAACAAGACTACACAAAGGATAATCAGGCATAGAGTAAAGTAGATGGAACCTTTTTATATCTCACTGAAATTAAGTCAGTATAAATCTGAAGTTGATTCAGATAAGTCAAAATAATGGTAAGTCCCTGAGAAACCACCAAGAAAAACTAAAAATGTATAGTGAAAAAACACTAAAGATATCAAGATGTTACATTAGAAAATATTATTGCAAAGGAAATTAGTAAAGAAAGAATACAGGGATGGTGACCAAAAAACTCAAACACAAAAAACATGAGACATATAGAAAATAAAAAGTAAAATAGTAGACATAAATTCGACTGCAGTTGATTCTCATTATTAGCAGTAATTATGCTACATAATGGCACTGAAAATACTGAATTAGTAAATACTGGACAATTGTTCCTAGGGGAAATATGGAGTTAGGTTCCTATAAGCCTCTAGTCAGTTTCAACAGATCAGTACATAATCTTGCTTTATATATGTTTAATATTGATATTTCTTCATTAACACTGAACTCACCCAACAGGACTATAACAACTCATGCTTGAACAAAGCTTCTCTAACATATATATTTTCTCCAGACACAAAATGGCACATCACAGCCATTTTGCACTTAGGTACACTAGACAGCACTTCACCACTATGCCTAAGGGCCAGTTTAAACAGCAAAAGCACCCCAAAACTATAAAAACATGGAAAATGGGGCACTAAATAGATCACAAAAAAGATATTTATTTACAGTATGTTAACTCAAACAAGAAAGCTCAGCTGTGAGCATGTATGTTGGGAGACAAATTTCTCACCACCATGTGCATGTCCATGAACAATCACAAAATTGCCACAGGCATTGACTTGGGGGTTACAAATAAATTTTAGAAAATAGGTAAATTTGCAAATAATGAAGGTCAACTGTATATCAATAATGGCATTAAATGTGAATAGATTAAATAATCTAATCAAAAGGCAGAGACTGTGAGACTGAATTAAATTTTTTTTTTTTTTTTAGTTGGAGTCTCACTCTGTTACCAGACTGGAGTGCAGTGGCTGCTCCCAGTCACTGCAGCCTCCACCTGCTGGGCTCCAGTGATCATTCCACCTCAGCCTTCTGAGTAGCCAGAATTACAGGCATGCACTACCATGCTCGGCTGATTTTTTGATTTACTGTAGAGATGAGGTCTCGCCAAGTTTCCCAGGTGGGTCTCGAACCCGCGGGGTCAGGCAATCCACTCACCTCAGCCTCCCAAAGCGTGGGATTACAGGCTTAGCCACCGAGCCCGGCTATGAATTAAAAGTTTTAAAAAAGACTTAACTAGATGCTTTTACAATAGGCATCCTTTAGATTCAAATATACAAATAGAATAAAAGTAATCAGAAAGGTAAATCATACCAACAACAACAACAGGAAAATTGGAGTGGCCAAACTAATATCAGATAAAATAGACTTTAAAACAAAAATTGCTACTAGGGACAAAAAGGAACATTTTATAATGATAAAGGTCAACCTATCAGGAATATATAACAAATATAAATATATTTGCATACAATAACAGAGCAAAAAAATACATGAAGTAAAAAGACAGAAAGGAAGGAAGGAATAGATAATTCGACAATATCAATACCTCAACACCTCAGTTTCAATAATGAATAGAATAACTAGGTGGATGACCAACAAGAAAATAGAAGACCTGAATGCACAATAAATCAATAAGACCTGGATTAGAAAAATGTGGTACATATACACAATGGAATATTATGCAGCCATAAAGAAAGACAAAATTATGAATTTTGCAGCAACTTGGATAGATTTAGTGTCTGTAATACTCAGTACTCTACCACAGAAACAAAGAACTGAGTATCACATGTTCTCACTCATAAGCAAACCTTGGACAATTATCCTAATACAGCAAGAAAGGGGTTGGCAGTAGTGGGAAACTGCGGGGGGGCGGGGGCGGGCACACTTCATCAATAAGCGTACTTAATCTCAGTGAAGTGGGGACCAAAGTGAGGCCCATACTTTACCTGTACAATGACCATTTGTATACCTAACCCTGAATTGTACCC